AACCGCTGACCTTAAGGTTCACAGCCCGATTCGTAACCACTACGCTACCATGAAGCTTAGAGCTGTGGAAACCTTATGGGGCAGTTGTACTTTGTATTATAGGATGGCTATGATTTTGATTTTGGTTTTGGTCACTTTCTTTACCTTGACTTCTCTATGATTAGGTAGAGAGCTTGTTGTTGTTGTTAAGTGCCGTCAAGTCGGTTCCAACCCATAGTGACCCTGTATAGGGTTTCCAAGGAACTGCTGGTGAGTTTGAACCACCAACCTTGCAGTTCAAACCTACTTTGCAGACCAGCACATTAACCCACAGCGCCATACCAGGAGCATTTCCCTACAAAGCCGGACATTGGGTCTTTAACTTGATAACCAAGAACTAACTCTTCTGACCTTTTTTTTGTTGTTGTTGTCCTTAACAAATAACATTAGCAAATAAAAGGGATGAGCTCTGAAAAGAAGAGAGAGAGCAGGGAGCCATTGCAGGTAGGGAAGCAGGCTGGTTGTGGGGGAAGCCTGTATTTGTTTGGGTTACTGTGTTGTTACCTTGAGACCCCACCTACTGAGGAGGTGAAAAGTTAATGGTAGGAGGCCAAGGAATGGCTGCCCTGAGTGAGAGAGGAAGGCCACTTGGCCAAACAAGTTTGTTCTCTTCTGAAATTTATAGCTGAGCTGTCTCTACCCTGTCACCTCCAGCATGGCTTTCCATCTTTTCCCACTGAGTTAAAACACCCCAAATGCTTGTAGCATTGAGGAAACAAACAACAACAAAAAAGACGTGCTTCATGAACTCATTCAGGTACCAAAGACTGTTCTAGGTCTGTGTTTTAGGACATTTTTCATTCAGAGTTTCTTGTGCTCAAGGTAAAAAAGGGAGTTAGTCTGCCAGAGTTCGTTCTGGAGTAGACATGTTCTGTGAGCTGCTGGTTCACACACAGCCTCTCCATCCCTCACTGACACATGCGGGCCCTGCAGGCTCTACCTTTGGGTTAGTTGGGCAGGAGGCCTCTGGTGTATGCTTTATGAGGAGTACTGAAGATCAGGCAGGTCTTTCTGGTCAAGAGGAGGTGATGGGAGGATCTTCTAGCCTCTTCCCACGCCTCTCCTACCTGCTCATTGAAACACCTCTGAATACAGTCTTCCAGTCACAGACATCAAGACTAAACTGCAGGGGCCTCAGAGGAGTAGAGGCCAGTCAGTAATTTATGCTAGGTGTAAATGACTGATTTCACAATCTTTCCTGGGATCTGGCTTGTGAGACAGGGAGCATTGTACCTGTGACCTGTCCTGCAAAACTTGGGCAAATCTTTGAAACTTTGTTCAGACTTTTCCTGTGAGTTCTTACTGTTGTTGTTAAGTGCTGTT